TCGGAATCGACTATGACGATCATCCAGCGATTTTTAAAGACGTCACCTTCATTGGTGAGTTCTGAGGTGACTCGAGAGGACGATACGGGACCGGCAGGACCGTCCACAGATGTTGCACGTGTGGAGGGCTACATCTAGTGCGGGAGGAGCGGCGGTATGGTCTTTCCGGCGGTAGCGCTCGTCCACCTCGGCACACAGACACACACACGCACATACTACTATTACTACTTATACTACTACCTGTACTACTACTACAACGACTAATTTAACGCACACCCACACACCATATAGAACGACTGAATATTACTCGTAAGTGAAAACTAATGAATGCACTTAACTGTTTGACTACATTCTTCAATCTTCACTTAAAAGAACTATACAAAGTACGACTCTCCCAGCCTCTGATATACTAAGTGCTACAGGTCGTGTGTACAGCTTCATAAATTAAGTAATGACGTTAATAACAAGTAATTCACAACAAGTTAACTTTCACCACCAGCTGCTGTATAAATGTTGAAGTTTTTCCTCTGAATACTTTACTATCACCATTACTACCACCTTGTCATCATGAGTCATTTGCTCCAGCTGGTGATAATATATTAAGATTTACAATATTATCTCATATACTCGCATTTTCAGTCAAATTTAATGTAAAATGCGAAATAATTTGCAAGGTTTTCGTTTCGTTAATAGTAATACCCGTGTGTGTGTGTATGTGTGTGTGTGTGTGTGTGTGTGTGTGTGTGTGTGTGTGTGTGTGTTGTGTTTAGTTGATGAGTGAGAAGAAAGGATTTGTGATATGGAATTAATATACATTACAGTTCCATCTGAAGTTATTATTTTTTCTAGGTGTATAAATTGTTTATATATTACTAGATGTGTACATGGTCTAGCTATTACCTACAGAAGCGTCAGACGTTGAGGTCACCTGTCAAAATAGTAGCCACGGGCGTCCTATTGCTTTTACAGTAATACCCGTCTTTGCACTTCATTCCCACTGCTCTTCAGTTTATTTCGAACAGTTCAAAACTCGAGCCAATTAAGTATCATTCGAATCAGTTTCATAAAAAGGAATATCAGTGAGTCAATAGGGCAATTATTAATAACACTGATAATATTACAATATATGCACGGTAACATTATCGAGAACAGAATGCCGTACTGCTAGAAGACTGTTTGAGAGCTTTATGAGTTCGAATACCGTAAGACACCCATATTCATATCTAAGGTTGACTATGTATTTTGGTGAGCGGTCGGTGTAATATCTGCAAGTCTGTCAAAGTAATCTGATGGAATGTCAAAGGATGTGACGCAGTGGGTATAATGTAAAATATTGTCTATATATTATGAATTTCCGTGGGAGCAAAGTGCAAAAAGGGGTACTCCTGTGTTCACGTCGACGACCACACACACACACGCGACACGAGATGATTATAATAGATAAAACCAACCACACACGACACGAGGTAGTTATACTCGACACAAAAACGACCACACATAACACGAGGTAGTTATATTCGACACAAAAACGACCACACATAACACGAGGTAGTTATAATCGACATAAAAACGACCACACGAACGAGTCTCTCTGAGCTGCTGGAAAGAGTCAGATCCAAAGCTCTCCTACTAACTCCCACACCACCACCACCACCACAGTCAAGGGTCTCGTCATAACTTCAGGCGAATCAAAGAGAAAACATAGAACCATGACCAACACAACAACACCTGCTGGTTCTCTCTCTCTCAAACTCTCACTGCTGAATCCCCAAACCCGTGAACCCCGATCCCCTAAACCTTCGAACCCACGAATCCCTGATCCCACGAATCCACAAATCCTTGAAACCCTGACGTTGATCACGCCATGGTGTGCAAGAAAGGGGGCTTCATATGCATGAGGCATGACGAAGTAAGGGATCTCACAGCAAATATGTTGAAGGAAACCTGACGTGATGTCAGGGTAGAACCGACCCTCCTTCCATTGGACGGTGAGAATTTCCAACATAGGACTTCAAACACATCCAACGAAGGCCGTGTTGACGTCAGTGCTTGAGGATTCTTGACACGGGGACAGCGAGCCTTCTTCGACATAAGGATTTTTTATCCCATAGCCGCATGTCACCGTAACTTAGCTCTCGATGCTGCACATAGGAGGAACGAGAACGACAAGATAAGGGCATATGCGGAGAGAATTCAGAACGTTGATCAAGATAGCTTCACTCCTCTGGTGTTCACAGCCTCTGGTGGGATGGGACCAAGTGCAAGATGCTTCTACGTCAGACTCGCGGAGGAGCTATCCGAACAGAAGCAGCTGCCCAGAAGTTATGTTGCAGCCTGGATGAGATGTCGACTGCCCTTCTCTCTCCTTAGGTCTGTTTTGCTCTGCCTCAGGTGAAAGAGAGCATCGACCCGAAAGCGGACAACCGTTACAGATATTGACTATGAGGCAACAGTCACTGAATGCCGCATAAATCTGTGACTCAACTATGTATTAGGATATTTAATTTTAAGGTAATAAAATGGCGGCGAAGGTGTGGCTATTGGGGGAGGAGGATGGAGGCCACGTGAAAAAAATTAAGTTATTACCACACCTCCCTCCTCCTCATCTTCCCCTCTCTCTCTCATCACCACTATGCCCTTCTCTCCCCTCCTCCTTTCTCTTCTCTGTTCCATCATCCTTCCTCCTTCTTTCACTACTTTTTCCTCCTCCTCCTCTTCTTCCTCCTCCATGAGTAGGTCAGATATCGAGGGTGAGGTAGAGAGAGGAGGAAAGGAGAGCCTGAGGTAAGGAGTGTTCCAGATACCTCCTCCTCCCTTAGACGGTCGCTCTCTCTTACTCTGTTGCTTTCTTTAATCTCTCTCTGTTGCTTTCTTTAATCTCTCTCTCTCTCTCTCTCTCTCTCTCTCTCTCTCTCTCTCTCTCTCTTTTCTTCCTTCGCTTGGTGATATGTCAAATGGGCTCCATAACCTAGTCCTAATGGGTCCTATTCCTAATGTCTAGGCTGGGTTAGATTAGGTTTGGTTAGGTTAGATTAGGTCAAATTAGGCTAAATTAAATTGAATTAGATATTAGGCGAGGTTGAATTAGATTAGGTCAGGTTGTTAGGTTCAATAAGGTTAAGTTGAATTAGGCTACGTTGAGTTTGGTTAGGTTAAGTTGAATTAGGTTGAGTTTGGTTAGGTTGAGGCGTATTAGGACAGATTTGTGAAGGTCAGTGTCTTTGACCGCACTAAAGACTTGTTGACGAGTAATAATAATAATAATAATAATAATAATAATAATAATAATAATAATAATAATAATAATAATGAAAGAGGTAAAACTTAAAAGACAAATACAGTTATCTGACGGCCGTGTAGCGTTCGTGTTACTTAGCCAACATCGTACATCCCGCCAGGTGTTACCCAGTCATGACACTTCCCGGTCAGTCACATCAAAACACGCTGGTGCCGCGAGCCTGGAGTAACTCTCACCTGGGGACTCGACTAAATGGCAAACTCCATGTTGTAGTAGATGATTGCTTGGTTATCTGATTTCCTGGTAGCGTTGCGTGTGTGTGTGTGTGTGTGTTTTTTTTTTTTATCGTTCAAAACCTGATGTACGCACCGGCAGAGGCACAGTGGTGGTGGTTAGGATGAGTTACTTTGGAAGGTGAAAAGAAAAACACATTAAGACGGATTTCTGAATATGTGCCATAATCCAGAATCCCCAAATCGAGTTCCCTTTTTACAGATTCACACAGAATTCGTAGCTGAGGAAAATAATAAACACTGTAAGAAACCCTTTAACGTGTGCAATGTATTAAATGACGTAGAAACCTATTAAACTCTTAGACGTAGTACAGTATCTGGATAAACTCAAACATCGATAAAGAACGCTGCACTACTTTTGGTATTTGAGGGAGAGAGTGGGTCATCTACGGTTCTAGTGTTTGTGTATACAGAGCCCCTTGATGCTTGTTTTTAGTGTCCCTTCATAGTTATGTTTAGTCTCCTGTTTAAAAGTCTCTTAAAGTTTGTGTTTGCAGAGTCCCTCGAGCACCGCCGTACATGTGGCATTGTTCCAACAAGATTAACGTTGCACCAGATGAAGAATGTAGTTATTTGTAAATGATCGAGTACATATCCAGGTTTTGGATGTATAAACTTCCTCAAGGGACTGTGAACACAAACATCAATGGACTTGTCAACACCCAGTACTCAAGAATGTGGAAACTTCGTCAGATGGGCAAAGTAACCTCACAATTTACAGTATATCAGTCATTGCTGTTACATTATTTTATCGGTTAATATTTTTCCGTAAACACATCATATTAATAAGAAAAAAATAGTTTAACTGTTGACATCGAAAGGTTTCCTCTTGATACATTAAGCCAAAGTCACAGTAGAATATAGTCACAGCTCATGGCGAGATGTTTGTTTGGTGGCCGGTAATAAAGTCACAGGAAAAAAAAGTCAGAAAAAAAGTCACAGGAAAAAAAAGTCACAATTAATTTATGGTGGCCGGTAATAAAGGTTAGGTTAGGTTCTGCATATTCCTTTACTGAAACTGATTGACATATTAACCTTAAAAAATGTGAGAATTCGATAGTTAACTTTTCTTTTTTTCCTGTGACTTTTTTTCCTGTGACTTTTTTTCCTGAGACTTTTTTTGTGACTTTTTTACCTGTGACTTTTTTACCTGGATTCGTTTGTTTATCATGATCAGCTGACGCATGTCTCGGGTGATTTTTCACTTACGTACGGCATTTTTAGCCTATCCTATTTTTTTTTTCACAAAACACAAAAGAAATCTAAACACGATTAAGACCCTATGCAGCAGACTGAATTTTCTACTTTACTGTAATACATAAAATAATTTTTGTTCAGATTAGGCTTCAGACGCGAAATAACGGATACTAATTGGTACAAAAAAACAAATTCTCGTTGATGTAATGCGAATTTACCACAAATTCTGATAACAAACGCAAAAATTAACTTAGAAAACAAGGCAGACTCACCAACAAGTACGGTAGCGCAGAACAGCAGTAAGCAGGTGAACATCGCCTCCGTGCGCCACATGTTAGCGGCCACGAGTGTATGTGTCAGGTGTGTGTCACGGCCTCTTTATATAACTTTCGCCAGCAGAGGAAGGGGGGAGGGGAGGGGCTTCAGAGGGGCAGATCAGAGGTTCCAACACTCCCAGTGACGGTCAGCCATACGGTACCCCCAACCACGTGATCACCAAGGTGTACCATGTTGCAAGATACCACGAACAGCACCGCCAAATCATTGTTTTCAGACTACAGCAAATAAACCACCTGAACTTAATCCATGCAAACTAAACTAAACCAAACCTCATCTAATCGCATCAAACTAAAGTAACCTTAATCTAACCAAAGTAAACCTAACCTAACCTATCCTAATTTAACCTACATCATTCAAAATAACGCAAGAAGTAACTTAGTGTATTTTCGTGGTACATTTATCGTATTAATGTACTTTGCTTCTCTGTGACTGCAACTTGACTTCTCCTTTCTTACATTAATTTATGGCTAAACGGCACAGACACTTGTGGGCAGTTTAAATTTGAGTAAGGAACAGTTCTTATAATTTAACAACGGAACAACCTCGCGAATCCGAAGGAAATTCATCTGTTTTTTATCTCCCTTAAAATTCCCTTAACTTTCTATGATAGTAGTTGACGCATTTATATAAAACAAAAGTCACCAACGATATAAATTAAATACCAAAAAAGGGGTAGAAATCTGGCAGCTTTTCTTAATATTAAATGAGTTGCCAGTTTGTGTCGTTGACTACTTGTTTTTCCCCAGTAATGACAGACACACAGACACAGGCAGATAGAGACTAACAGACAAACTGACAGGCAGAGCGCGACAGACACACAAACTGACAAACAGAAACAAAGATAGACACATTGACAAACAGGCAGTCAGGCACACAGGAAGATAGACTCCGACAGACAGAGAATAGCAGATATAGACAGATAGATATCCCAGCATGTATAGAACAGGTTCACATATACGGAGACAGTAACGTCGATAGATACGTAATATAATTACTACATTGAATATAAATTACATTAAATAGCCAAATAATCACACACACACACACACACAAGACGTGCCCCGAAGGCGCTCCCGGTTTTAGCAGCCAATCGAGTCTGTTTGGCCCTGCCACTACCCCTGCTATACCCCAACGCCCTACCAGCCTTACTACACCGGGATCTATTCAGCAAAACATTCTAGTTTATATGTCTTATTTGTGTCACTTATGTTACTTGTATATTATTTGTAATTCGTAACCCATTCCCCAAATATGTAACTGTATATTTTCAGCCTTCTGGCTGCCAAGCTCTTTCAATAAACCCTTGATGTTTGTGTTTACAGAGTCCCTTGAGGAAGTCACACTCCCCAAATTAGGCATGTACGCTATCATTTACCTACAGACTGTATTCTAAACCATGTACAGAGTGACAGTTTCCATTCACTTGTGTTATTGTTTATTAATGAATGTATCATGTGGTTGGCTGTGATGTTTTCTGTACACTTCTTTCAGTCAGTCTTAAGCCATAGTCGATCAGTCACTCAGTCAGTTAGTTAATGAGGTTGGAATTAGGTTAGTATCAGTTGTCTGGTAGTTATTTAGTCATTCAGAATTGGTGTCCACAGACCTGCTGAACCAGCGAAAATATTGTATTGTAAACTCTAAGTACTTTATTTTTATTATTATTATTATTATTATTAATAGTACCCGCAGCAGTAGTAGTAGTAGTAAATCCTTCCTTGTACTCACCTACTTCCCCCACTCACTGTTGGTAAGTACTGTACTGCACAGTTCCAGAATGTATCTGAACCTGCGCCGGTGTTGGTCAAATCTGGCCTTAAAATCACACTCGGTGCTGCCACAACACTCTGGCAGGTTATTCGACAGGACTTTACAAATCTCTCTCCCAAAAAATTCCTCTGATAATTTTTTTGCGCTTGTTTTCTTTAACTTGAGGCTGTGACCTATAGTGGAGCGGGCATCTGCTTACAGGAGAATCATCGCTAACAACAGGTTACAGGAGAATCATCATTAACATCAGGTTACAGTAGAATCATCGCTATCAACAACAGGTTAATATAATCATCGCTAACAATAACAAGTTACAGTAGAATCATCGCTAACAACAGGTTACAAGAGAATCATCATTAACAACAGGTTACAGAATAATCATCGCTAACAACAGGTTACCGGAGAAGCATCAATTTTCCCACTAATCTGTTCAAGGAAAGTGGTAAGTGTGATGGTGGTTAACATGCATTATTAATCATTCGATTATTTGTCCTACTTATTACAATAGTTTAATAACAAGTTTTGTGTCCGTAAAAACAATAAGTAATACTTTTATTTATGTACTGTAGTGAAGATTAATAATACATAGGGGACTCTAATGAATAATAGGGAATACTAAACAGACAACTTTTCCCGCGCTGTGGATCTGGGTTAATTTCCCCCCTCAGGGTTCAAGACGCTCCTATAGCATCCTGGTGTAGAGGCGAGAATCCTCCGTCTGCTCAGCCACGCGTAACAGAAAGCAGTCTTAGTTTTCGTTTCTTTTATATGCTGTTATATAGCAAGAGGGATGGTAGGAGTTTGAGGAAATAACATGTTACAAAACGTGAGAAGTTTTTACGATTGACAAGTGGATTTGTAAGGAGGCTGACTAAAATATCTTGTGTGTTATCGACGCGTGATGATCAGTTGTTACACCAGAAGGCTGACGGTGAGAGAAATTGGTTGTAATAATAAGTTTTCTTCAAGTTGAATGTTAACCTGTTAACCCTAATTGTTTACTCACTTGGTCATTCACTTATCCACACACACCGTGGGTGGCAGGTGTTGTGGGTGTAGAGAAAGTACGGCCTGAACTTCGCCGACCACTATAGCAGTAAAGTAAGCTGTAAAACCTATGCTGACCACACTAGAGAAAATAAAAGTGTGCGTTTGTATAATTAAATATTTTTGATAAAGTTCACAAAAATATATAACTAACACAGACCATGATATTTATCAAAGTATTTTTCTATTCCAATTACAAACTCGTATTATAGTCTGCGACACACTAAGAATTATCATATTTCTACTGTAAAAAGACTACAGATGATTCTACAGATAATACTTGTGGTGGGGGGGGGGATCTTCAGATTTTCTACAGATTCTGCAGTAAATCTAGAGATATTTCAATTTTCCAAACAGCAACACTGTGGGAGTGATAAATGCTTGCAAAGTAATGGGATGATCCATAAACGGGAGAGGGGGGTGGGGGGGTGGGGAGAAGTGTGATATACCAAGACAAGAACCAAGGCCTTTGTCCATGTTGGCGCCTAAAACCACGAGGCCCTCAGTTTCGAGGTAATAAGATGGTGCAGGAAATTTATCAGAACCCTGATAACTCAGACACTGATTGTATTTTGTAATTTAGGAATAAGGTATATAATCATAAAGCATGAAGTCAAAATACCTAAAAAAAAATGTGTTTTGGGGTCAGAATAGACACTGTGATTTGTATGAATTGGCAACGTAGGCCTAGGTTCCTCCTGCGCCCTGATGTCCCCATCTCGCATCACACTACCTGTTTTGATGCAGAGTCACGGACCTCAGCCGAGCTGACTCAGCCCTCAGTTATGGACGCGTTGACGGTCGGAATTTTTTTCGTAAGCTGGCAGGTCAATGGGTAAAGAAAACGCTTAAATTCAATATGGTAATGATATTTTGTTTATTAAATTGGGCCAAAAAGTTTCAAAAATAAGGGTTAAAGTTGCTAAAAAGTCACATGACTGCAAAAAGCGCTGTGATTGGTTGTGACGTCACTGGTTGAGGCGAGCCACAGAGCGTTTAATTGGACAACAAAGTATTGGAGACGACACGGTCTCACCATTCAATTCCGAAAATGTAAGAACCGTAACTTTATCAAGTGTCAGACACCCGAGGTCTATGAAACACTCAGTACTGTTGGATTTGACAGGGTTGTCCTTGTGCCTCCTCCTGCTAACGCAGTGGAATGTTGCCACATCCTAGTTAAACAGTTCCCCCTATACAGTGAAGTCGAAGATGCTCGTAACCTTAATCCAAGTATACTCAGTATACGTCGACACTACCGAAGGAAGACCCCACAAGCAGCTGTCATAGTTAAATGGAAGGGGAGGGAGTGCCCAACCACTGTTGATGCCCACCCAGTCCTCCCCTCAATGTATGCTGAAATCTATCACCCAGAACCTGCTTTTGTGTCATCTGCTCCCATTGGGGTCACACCTTCACCGCCTGCTGCCGACGTGATCGTCCCATATGTCGCTCCTGTTCACGTAACCATCACTCCTCCGTCTGTGCCCAAAAAAATCAAAGACCACCTTAATGGGGGTGGTGTGAGCTATGTTGTTGACCCCAGGTGTTGTAATTGTGGTGGCTGGCACAATGCTGACTCATGACAATGCCCCAAACATGCGTGTGTCCCGGGAGAAAAGCCTCCCCGAAGGCTGCGTCAATCTCAACCTCTCCCCCAGCCTACCGAGCCACATCCCTCTGCGTCCCCTCTGTCTCCAGCAACGCCTTCTTCAACAACACCTGCCCCTGCCTGGCCTCACCTGGCTGCAACACAGCAGTCCCAGCCATCTCCTAACTCAACTACTACTAGGCCTCCTCCCGGTCTCTACTCTGACGCTGTCAGGCCTTGTGCTCCCACCGGTGCCCCCCACAACCCCCCTCTGGTGACAAGACACAGATCACATCCCTCTTACACGAATTTACCAACCGTATTGAAAGACTCTTTGATACACTCTGTACCACAATCTCCAACCTACACAGACTACCCCTGCCTCCAGCTGCTACCCAGTTATCCCCTCTTCTAGTCTGACACAACCTGGTAGCCCCCGTGTGCCCCTCATGCTCACGGCCTACTCCACCGCCGCCTGGCACCACTGCTGGCGTCCACACTGAGCCTGCCCGCTGCCCTCATCCACCCACCGCGCGCTCATGAACCCTAGGACACCACCCCCGGCTCCCCGTCCCCCACCGGCATGCCAGCACCTGGGGCCCATCCACTCCAGTTCTCCATATCAATTGACCACCATGCAGACATGCTAGTGGACTATGTATCTATG